GCATCTCTGAAGGCGGCCTTTAGAAACATGTGCCGGGCAACTGAGTCAACTCGGAGGGGTGGAAGGACACCAGGCCTCCCTGGAGCCCACAGTCTCTAGGAAGCAATAAACTAAGCAGCAAATGGCTGTCACTTCAGGTGGCTGGAAAGGGGTCATTTATGAAAAGATCCAGACCAAGAATTCCAGGGCAAGATAAGAACAGCAAGTGTTAAGGCCCTGAGGCAGGAACCCGCTTGGCAGGTCCCAGGTTCTGCAAAGAGGAGAGGATGATGGGAGGAAACAGGTCGGATCAGTGAGGGACCACGTGCCTTTGAGGCCAGAGGAAGGAAATGGAATTTGTTTGGATTTCCCACACACACACTTAGAGTCAAGGTGTGGCTTTAACTCACGATTTTCCTGCCTCTACCTTCTGAGCACTGACATGACAGGCCTAGGCTCACCTGGGATTTTTTTTTTCCTTTTTCAGGAGAGGGTGAAGTAGTTGAGGGGAACACAAAGTGTCAGGCTATAGTGGGTTCCAGCCACTGTCAATGAGGGTTCCTACACAGTGAACCAGGAAGTGTCAGCGAGGGAGTAGGCTCTTTGCGACCCGGAATGTGTGTTCCGAGCTGGTGCTGCACTGTCCTGGGTATCTCTTCCCTCAGGCAGACCAACGTGGGCTCCTTAAGACACAACTATCTCCACACCATCAGCTGTTTCCATGGTCCCCAAGCCCAACCCTTCCACCACCGGGGCACCCACCAGGATGGTGGAAGCTGCAGCCCTGTCAGAGTTAGCCCTCAGATGTCAAGAGCCTCAGCTGTGCCCAGACCACTGGACCCTGGGACGGGCATGGTGGCTTTGCATGAAGGTCTTTCGTGAATGTTGGACAACAGACCCTAGGAAGAGAATGACTGTTGCAGGGAGAGCCCAGGGAAGGCAGAGACCAGGCCCCAGATCCGCATGGACACAGGACACAGGACACAGCGTGCAGAAGCAGGGGGAAGGCTAGCCCCATGCTCTTTAACTCTGACCACCTGCAGTGGTGCGCACTGTCCCTGTGAGAGAGCGTCAGGAGCTGTGATGAGGCCTTGGACTGGCACTGAGGGGATGTGGTTCTGGGCAGGACCACTCAGCTCTGAAGTCTGGCCCTTAAGGACGCAGGCTGATAACAAGGAGGTGAATCGCTTCAGCTGCTATTTACCTCCACGCCAGCCACCCCTCCAAGCCAGCAGCGACACAGAGCACGACGGAAACCACCAGAGGCGCCTGTATGAACACTAAGTTCCTGGACTGTGTGACTAGTGTGGCCACCATGTTCCCTGGAGAACCTCACAGAACCTGGTGGGGAGGCCTGATGTCTGCAGCATGCTGTGTATGGACTGGGAAATCTGAGGGGTGTGGGGAGGTGATGTAGAAAGGGAGGGGGAAGAAAAGAGAAAGAGCAGAGGAATATTGGTGTACAGATACTTAGATAGGAGGATACATAGCTACATAGATTATAGCCATTGCGAGATGATAAATATATAAATACAGACCTTGTGGACACAGAAGGCAAATGGCACACAGATGGATACGTACATACACCAGAAATAAACCGATGATAAATGATTTGTTGATTGATGGATAACAGATGATTGAGGGATAGATAAAATATAATGATAGGTAGGTAGAGAAGCCAGGAAATGGTGGTGCCTGCCTTTAAGCCCAGCACTCAGAAGCACTCAGACTCTGTGAGTTCGAGGCCAAACCTGGTTTACAGAGTAAATTCCAGGACAGCTACACAGAGAAGCTCTTTCTTGAAAAATCAATATTAAAAAGAGAGAGAGAGAAGAAAGAAAAGAAGAAAGGAAGGGAGGAAAAGACAGGAAGCATAAAAGGAGAGAAGTAATAGACATGACAGCTGATTGGTTAATAGTTAGCTAATGGAGAAATAGAGGAGATATTTGGGACAGAGAGAGAAGCCTGAGAGTTACACTGAGGTGAACAGTGCACTATTTGCACTAGTTTTCATGGTTCTGTTTTGTTTTCTTTTTAGACAAAGTCTCCCATTGCCTAAGCTGGCCTTGAACTCACCAAGTTGCCATGCCAATGTCCTGATCCTCCTGCCTTCACCTCCTGAGTGCTGGGATTACGGGTGGACGCTGCCACATACAGTCTGTGCCCTGCTGGAACGGACCCCAGGCCTTGTGCATTTTAGGCAGGCACTCTCCCTACTGAGCAGTGCTCCCAGCCCTGTCTTTGCTTTTCTGCAAAATGGAAAATTTGCAAAATAAAAACTGATGGTGAGATGATTTCTTCTTCACTTATCCTAGGAGGCCAAGAGCTTCTGGGAGGCAGAGAATTCAGAGCACACCACCAGCTACACACCAACAGCCAACAGGAGGGTACCAGTTCCCATTTTTAAGTAAAAAGAACTCCAGACTGAGCATGATGGCATAGGCCCACAGGCATAGCTCTCAAAAGGACTGCAGAGAATCGCTACCAGTCTGGGCTGCACAGAAAAACCCTGTCTGCAGAAGAGGACATGAACTGAGAGAGGGGAAAGAAGGGAGGAAGAGGAGGAGGCAGAGGACACCAGTGACCTGGACTCAGCAATACAAAAATGTCAGGCATCTAAGACAAATGTAAAAAGCCTGAACCACAGAATCCTTCAGCCACGTGTCGCAAGGCTGTAGATTTTCACTATGTGTTTTATCTGCATTTGTCAGATATAATTTATCATATTAGCCAGACTGCCAGCCAGTCCTTGGGCTCATACGTGCTGGGCCAGCCTTCTACCTGAGCTACACCCCAGCCCCTCACTGGGAGATTCTAGTCTACTGCTGATATATCTTTTTCACTTTTTTATTTAGAGACATGGTCTTGATAAGTTGGCCAGGCTGGCTCTGAACTCATCTGTAACTTAAGCTAGCTTTGATCTTGCCATCCTTCTGCCTCAGCCTTCCAAGTGGCTGGGATGAGAGGCGTGGCTAAGGGTAACCATATTTGAAGGCATTTGTTTATTTGGTGTGTGTGGGTGTGTGTGTGGGTGTGTGTTTGTACGTGTGTTTGTATGTGTACGTACCTGCCATAGCATATGTGGATGTCAAAGGACAGCTTGCAGGCGTTGGTTCTCTCTGTTCTGGGTGTCAAGCTTAGGTCATCAGGCTTGGTGGCAAGTGCCTTTACCTGCTGAGCCATCTTCCTGGCCCATTACCTAGATTTTAAAATGCATATGTGTCCTACTTCACATAGAGAAAGGATCAGTTCTGGGGATGAGCATATGGCAGATGCGTTGCCAGAGAAAAACCAAGAGCAGGTGGGAGCGTGGGGAAGCAGCTGCTTTCCAGCCTTGGCCAAGGGGCCATTGCTGGCCGCCACAGAGTGCTGGATTCCAGAGCAGCTGTGGTCTCATGACCTAACACCTGGGCAGCCGCCTAGCGAAGGGACCCAAATGTGGAAAAGCACCCTTTTCTCAGAGGGCCTGACAGGGTGTGATTTAAAATAGCAAAGTGTACACCTGAAATTCCAGCACTCAGGAGGCTGAGGCAGCAGGTTTGCGTTCCTGGCCAGTCTGCGTTCCAGAGTGAGATCCCGTCTCAACAAGGCAAGACATAAATCATTAAATGAAATGACACAGGCCAGAGATAACCTTATTTCCAGCTTCGGAAAATTCTCCTCTTGTTTTCCTGGCGATTCTTCCACTGCCTGAGACCATGGCTCGCATCCATCCCTCAATGTTTTGGGAGCCAGGGTGCAGGACTAGCCCATGCTTTCTCTCTTGCTTTATGCTCCCTGGAATGAGGATGTTTCTCGACAGGCTCTGCCTGTCTGCTCTCACCTCCATGTTGATAATCTGATCTGCAGTCGTACCATTCTTCTAAGAATATGTGTGTGTGAGTGAAGATGTGACAATAAAACGAACACTTGAAGAAGCAGCCAGACCTCCACAGTGGGGGTGGGAATCGAACTCGGGTCATCAGCAGTTTTTGTGTGGCAAGTGCTTTACCTGCTGAACCACCTGGCTGGCCTTCTATTTTATGTTTTTTTGAGTCAGGGTTTCTCCCTGAATCTAGCCTTCACTGCTAGGCTGGATTTGTTGGCCAGTGAACTCGGGAGCCCCTCCTGTGTCTCTCTGTCCCAGAGCCAGGGTTACAAGCTTGGAGAATCATGCCTGTTTTTTTTAAGTGGGTGCTGGGGATTTGAACTCACTTTATTGACTGAGTCATCTCCTTAGCCTCCAGGAATACCTGTTTTTAAAGCCGTGTACCCAAGCTCCAGCCCCCTGCCTCTGAACTATTACCCAGTGACTTGTCTGGCTGTCCTGAAACCCCACAGGCACCTCCAGCCTGATAATGAGGCTTCAGAGCTAGCCTCTGCCAGTGCTAGGACTTCAGAAGCCTTAATTGGAAGAAAGGAAAATGCAGATGTGATACAAAACGGCAATTTACTGCTTCTCGAGGGCACCTTCTTTCCCTACTCTGCACCCTGTGTCTCACTGCATTTCCCATACCAAGGCTGCTCCCTGCCCCTGGGGTGTCCCTGGCCTCTGAGCTGCACCCCTAGACCACAGGAGTCCAAGCAGGCAGGCCTATACACATTGTGCTTGAGAGACCCTTGTCTGTGGCTGCACCCTTGGACTGGTGGGCTGGCCCTTGGGAGTGATGCCACTTCTAAGTGCTCACACTCTGTTGGGGGCTGATGAGGTGAGAGCAAAAGCTTTCATAGGAAGAGGCACCCACACATAGCTTGAACAGACATGGGGTGGGTTTCTACAGGCAGGAGGGAACAAAGGAGTCACACAGGAATCTTCAGTGGAGCCAAAAGATAGGAATGTGGAGAGGATACCAAAGAAAGAAGTATGAGAGAAAAGAAAAGAAAAGAAAAGAAAAGAAAAGAAAAAAAGAAATAGGGCCTATCAACCCAGCACTTAGATCAGAAGCTGAGGCAGGAGGATGGCAAGTTTACAACCAACCTGGGCAATATGGTGGGATGCTGTCTCAAAAAAAGAGTAAATAAATAAACACAAATAAACAAGCTGTGACAAAAGCTTCCTAGTTTAGTCCCTAGCACGCATGTGAAAAGCTGGGTGTGATGGCACATACTTATAATTTTGGTTCTGGATCAATGGAGACAGGAGGATCCCTGGGGCTCCCCTCCTTGGCAAAGTCTAGGCCGGTGAGAGACCCTGTTAAAACAATAGCAACAGGGCCCTTCAATAAATACAAACATATGTACCTCAGATAAATAAACAAAATTTAGAAAATATAAGAGTTTCCTGTCATTTCCGTGTCTCTGACCCTTTCCATCCCCCACCTTGTCTAAAGAGATCCAGACTCTGTAACCCAATACAAGCCGGCCAGGGAGGCGGGAGACTGCTGACCCATATGATTTTCGGTCAGGTACCACTGTGGTCAGTCTCACTGGACCAGATCACTCAGCTGCACCTGAACAGCTTCATCTTCCTGCTTCATCATAACTACACCACACTGTCCAGGCCGCTGTGCTCGTGAGGATCCTGTGACTAGGACAGGGCAATGTAGCTGGCCAGTCCTGGACCCAATGCCCAGCCTGCTTGTTCACCAAGAGATGGAGAGGACACCCCAGCCTGTCTGAGCTCCAGACCCTACCCTCAGCCTCTCTGTCCTGGACAGCTATGGGTCATGTCCTACCTTGGCAGGGTGATTTCTGCTTCTGCACCCTGGAGCGCTCTGGTGAGGAGATTTGGAACGCACATCTCCACGGTGTGATCTCGGATATATCCTTCTGTCTTGGAGATCCGTCCCGTCCCCTGTCCTGTAGACAGAACCCTGACCAGCCTTAGATCCTCCCCTTCCCGTCAGCCGGGTCACCCAGGCGGCTTCTCTAAAGCAAAGGGGCAAAGTCCAGCCAGGTAATCTCATCCTCATCCAGGGACAGGGAGGCCCCGGCATCTCTATGGCAGCCGCCCCCCTCTGAAGGGAAAACACACACATGAGCCACACAAACAGCCTCCCTGGAGATGCCAGCAGCCTCGTTCCTGGGTGTCTGTTTGGTCCAAAGGCCTCGGAGGTGAAAAAGGGCTTTGGCCCAGGTAGGCAGCCGCTCTGCCACCTGCTGGCTATGCCTCCTTCCACCTGTTGCTTCACCTCTCTGAGCCTCTGCTGGCCTCAATGATTAAAAAGATAATCAAGCAGAAATAGCTGCTAATTAGGCCTGTTGGAGGATCTGTTCAGGCAGAGCCTGGCTGGAGCCCAAAGGCAGCCAGCACTGAGACTGCTTGGTGGCAGAGAAGGCTGAACGCCATGGGCTGTGTTTGGCATATGGCAGGCCTCAGTGAGCAGAAGCTGCTCCACTGCGGAAGAGAAGCTCGCTAAACTGTCCACACACATGACGAGGCAGCTGTGCACCAGAACACCTGCACCGGCATCGTTCCTTCACATTCTGTGGGCAAGTCCTGCATTTACTCCAGCCCTCAGTTTCCCAGAGATGGAGGCACTTGCCGTCAGAGGTGTCCACGGCTACCTAACAAACTGCCCTGAAAGCTGGAGGCTTTAAAATAAAGGAATAAATAAATTTACGACTTCATGCTTCCTAGAGCTCCGAATTTGAGATGGGTTAGCTGGGCCCACCGAGGGCTTGAATGAGCCCATGAAGGCAGTCAAGAGACCTCACAGCTCCTCCTCCAGGCACCAGCTGCAAGCTGGTCACTCAGAACAGCCCTATTTGATGAGGGACCACCCAAGGGCACAGAACCCCAGAAGGGGCAAAGATGGCTGGGGACTGTCTGACTGCTGATTGCTGTTGTGAGATCCAAAATTCACGGCCATTCAGTGCCAAGCGCTGCCTGTCCTCTTAGAACTGTCAAGGGACCATAAACCAACAGAACCTCCCATGAAGGGATAGTGCACGTGCTATGGAAGAGAAGGCAAGAGCCCTGTGAGTAGGGAGAATGGCCTCCTGGGTAGCAGACGTTCCAGGGTGGGTAAGCCTTGCTTGTTAACCTCTTAAAGGATGGTCCCGCTAAAGGACACCCATCACCCAGCTCGCTGGAATTGCAGGGGACTACAGCCTCTAGTGTTAGGGCAGAGAAGGCTTCCACGTCTGTGGCAGAGCTGCCCCAAGCCCCCTCACCCTACAACCTGGGTAGCATGCATGCACTGTGAGCTTGGAGGTTCTAAGACCTAACGCAAACATTCAGGGAAAGGCCCCTGAGGCAGTGCCTGGCACAGGTTAGCACAGAACACAGCTGGTGCAGAACAGCTAACCCAGCCAGCCCTCGTTCCCAGTCTCCGCCCTCCCTTCAGAAACTCCCACCTCTCACAGTAGACCTACCAGGGCCTCGGCAAGGGCTGTGTGAACCACCTACCTCACCTGCCTTGGGCCCTGGGCCACAGAAGGTACATCCAGGTGAGCTAATGAGGACCAAAGAGGACCACCCATTCTACCATAAACCTAAGCCAGACAGTTGTAGGGAGCCTGGGTCCAGAGTTGGGAGAGAGGGTGTCTGAGAAAGCTTCCTGGTAGAGGTGGCTTTTAAGGTTGGTTGTATCTTCCAGGGCAAGAGTCTTCCCCTTTCCCAACATACACCCTCTCCTCTTCCTCAGGGGAATCAGATCTCAGGGGCCTTCCAGAACAACAGCTCAGCTGGTGCCCTCCCTGCCCTGGGGCCACTGGGCTGTGTCACCAGTCTGGAATGCACTTTCAATTCCCCTGCCCTCTCCTGTCATCTCCTCCCCACTGCAGGCCAGCTCATCATTTCCCCTTGGAGAGGTTGGGGCTGGACAAGGAATCTAGGGGCTCTCTGGGAGGAGAGAATGAGCTTCTTCCAGGCCCAGCTCCTCCAAGCTCCCTCTCAGGTACCTGGAGTTCAGGAAGTGGAGATGACTGTAGTGATTGCCCAGGGAGGGGATGGGGCTGGATGGCCACCTGGGACCCTGTCCTTCAAACTGGGACTCGGGTTTTCTGGTGGCCTCTAGAGAAGGGGTCTGAGGGAGCCATCAGCTGTTTCCTCATGGGGACACTATTGTTTCTCTGGGTTAGAAGCAAGATTTCCGTGGTTCCCAGGGCCCTCTTGGCCTTTCTGTGTTCATGGATCCTCTGAGGCCCTCCTGGCTGGTCCTTGGCCCCCTCACTCCCTTTTCTGAATGGGCAGGTGAATGTGGTCCAAACATCTCAAGTAGAGTCCACTTGGGACTCTGCTGTGGCTTCTCCTACCTCTCCATTTATGGCTCAGCAACTGTCATCAAGAAAGCACCCTGGACAGCCTTGAGCAGCTCTGAAAAACAGCTTCTATAAAAGCACCCCCACTTGCCATATAGCCTTCTCACCCGGCCCTCAGATGCTGAGAGGCCACTGCCTCTCAGCTGACATTGCCACCTGTGCCAGGTGGCCGTCATTCTGGATAGGGGAACACCAGTGAGACCTCCCCACCTCTTCCTATGTAGGTAAACACCTTGCAATGGGGAGAGGTGGGGCATTCAGAACCACAGGGTGATCAGAGTGGGTAAAGCGTATTGCTCACATGCCCCGCTAGCCTTGGGATCTTTTCTGAGAAAAGCCACTGCCCATGACTTCATTACCATTCTCTGGTAGGCCTCTGGGCTCAGGCTTGCAAAGCAGGGCCACCACCCCGAGCTTCCACTCAGACCTAGAAGACAGCAGGAGGTGTCTGGCGATGCTACCTAGTGGGGTCCTCTCCATCCTGAGGGGTTTCATCCTGCATTTGGTAGATACAGGGCACAGAGGCAGGTAGGAGAGATACCCTAAAGATGGCAAGGTGGGCTGCAAGAGCAGGCTTCCTTGTGCCAGATACTGGCAGACGGAGGACACTGAGCCCTGGCCGGCCCACATGGCCTGCGCACAGCTCCCTTGATGCCCATCACTGCCTCCTACTGCCTCCGAGTCCTGGCATCTTCCTGAGGACTCCCAGGAAGCACCAGAGCCTCCCAGGGGAAACTTGGCTGGCTTCCAGTGGGCAGGGCTCCACTCATAAACAAAGCTTTATGGCCCCAGGGCAGGCTGGCCAGGGCAGGCTGGGTTGGGCAGAGATGGCCCAGGCTCTACTCCCTGGGGCCCCTCTGCTGTGAACTGCTTCTCACTCTGTGCCCCTGTGCAAAATGAGCCCCACAGGGACACTGTAAGGTGTGCTGGGACAGGGATCCGCCAAGCCTGGTGAAGACTGGCACTCAGAGAGGGTGAGGGGTGGGAGGGAAAAGAGAGAAACAGACAGGGAGAGACACAGAGACAGAGATAAGGAGAGAGACAGAGACACAGAAAGAGAAGATAGAGACAGGAGGAAGACAGGGAAAGAGAGACAGAGCAACAGAGAGAGAGAGAGAGAGAGAGGCAGGCAGACAGAAAAACAGACAGGGAGGGAGAGACTGAGATAGGAAGAGGGATAAGGAAGAGACAGAACCTAAGACATTGAGAAGCAGAGAGAGAGAAGGGGAGAGAGAGAGCTCAGGAAAGCTTTACCCCAGCCCTGTAGCCCAGGAGCAGGCTTGCTGAGTGACCGAGTAAAGAGTGGGCAACTGACCCAGCAAGGATCAGCCTCCTGCCTCAGATGGCATCAGATACCTTCGTGGGAGGGGTGCTGTGCTCCTTTGAGATTCACGCTCTCCTGCTGCGGGGCCCAGGTGACAACTTTAGTGATAAAAAGTTCCCGGGGCTTGACCCAAGAGGGTGATTCTCTTCTTCCTTCCCTTAGCCAACAACACAAGGAACCCTCCACAGGGGTCTTAGTTAGCTTCTGGCTATGACAAACACTAGAACCAAAGACAGCTCAGAGGAGGGGGTTTATTTCGTCTTACAGCTTGCGGCCCATTGTCAGGGCAAAGGAAGCTGGAACCTGGAGACAGGAAATGGAGCAGAGGCCATGAGGGAACACTGCTTGTTCTCCATAGCTTGCTCAGCCTGCTTTTTGATACAATCCAGGACTATCTGTCCAGGGCTGGCACTGCCCAAAATCATTAATCAAGAGAGTGCTCTACAGCCTTGCCTCCGAGCCAGCACGATGAAGCCGTTTTCTCAGCTGGGACTCCCTCTCCCCAATGACCCTTGCTGGTGTCACACAGACAAATCTAACTAGCTCAGGGACCGTGCCCTGAGGGACTTCCTGGGTTCCCTCTCTCCAGACCTAATCCCAAAGGCCTGCCATCCATAGCTGGGTGCTAGAGACGGGGTGTGCTGGGACCCTTCTACTGTGTAAGAGCCGGCATCAGCCACCCAGTGGGGCTTATATCCAGGGGCCTGAAGAGACTGTGCCCAACTCCAGTTCCCCAGACCTCATGGAGCAGATAACACCCTCCAGGGTCTGTCTGAAGCCCTCCGCACATAACCCATGAGGTCACACTCTGACGCTTATGTCACGAGATGGTGGGACAGCTGCACAGAAGGTCATCTCCCTTGAGACAGCGGCCTGATTCACAGGGTTCCTGGTCAGGCCGCGCATCTTTACCTGGGACAGCCCCATCTGGGGACACCCTGAAGAACAAGGTTCCAGGAAGAGGGAGGACAGTAGCTCCTTTGGGCTAGAGTCGACCAAACAAAGGTCCTCTGCAGGTCGGATATCATGACCACACCCAGCCCAAGCCATGTACCAGCAAGAAAGTGGCCACTCTTCGTCTAGAGACCTTGGCTACCACAGATGTGCTTGGGTGAAGCCAGAGGGCCAGGTGCTTGTCATGAGTGAGAGGGCTTGATGTCCTGGGCAGCAACAGCTTTAAGCCTGTGAGTTTCTTTCGCTGAGCTAACACTTCTTACCCACAAATTCACGCCATGCTAAAATCAAGCCTGAGAGGCAAATACCCTTCCCAATTCATGGATGAGATCATGGAGGCTCAGAGAAGTTAAGCAGCTTTGCCTTATGCCAAACAGCTAAGAAAAACGAGGAGCCAAGCATGGTGCAACATGCCCTCAATTCCAGCATCTGGGAGGCTGAAAGGGTGGGGAACGCTCAAGCCTGGACTCCAGGAAGAGACTGCCAGAGAAAGAGAAAGGCGGGAGAGAGAGCGCAGCCATGTTGGGTCATAATTCTAATCCCACTACTAAGAAGGTGGAGGGTCCCCGAGGCTCCAGCCACCTCCTACTTGGCGAATTCCAGGCCAGTGAGAGATCCTGTCTCAAAGGAGAGCAATGAGGTTGAGGAGATGGGCCAATAGATACGTGCCTGCTGTGCGAACATGAGAACCTGTTAATCCCCAGCACCCACCCAGAAAGCCAGGTGTGGTGGTGTGCACCCATGACCACAGTCCTGGGAGGCAGAAGCAAGAGGGCCTCAGGGACTTGATGGTCATCCTGCCTATGGAAGGATGGAGAATGACTGAAGGCAGACACCTGACATGGTCACATCCAACCCTGGCCTCCACGTGTGCATGCCTGGCATATGTACACGCACACACAGACACACACCATGTAACACAGAGACACACACACAAACACATCACACACACGCACATGACATACACAGAGCACACACACACACGTTAACTAGCACAGGCCACACCAGCCACGCCTGGGCTGGACATGACAGGTCAGTCAGCACTAAGTCCCAAGCACTGTGTTTTGATTCTTCTGGTGCTGTTTGGTCGGGTCTTTCCGTGCTGCTGGCTGTGAAACCTGCAGCCTCACACACGCTAGGCAAGCACTATACTGACTGAGCCGCAGTCCCAGCCCTCGGGTGCATCTTTAAAATGTACAAAACTGGCCTGTAGCAGTCAAAAGAGTGCGAGCTCAGGGAGGTAGCTGAAGGGGCCGACTGGCACTGGAAGAGGCTAGTGGAGTGATGCAAGCCTCTGTCCTGAGGAACATCTGCCAGATGGCCTTAAGCTCAGGCTGAGCCTGGGGCCCTCAGGCCCGGGATGCACTGTGGCCATCAGGGCCTCAGAAGATCCTCAAGGAGCGTGCTTACACACACACAATTACACACAATTACAGGGGACTTCATTTTTCTCCCAAGTGTCGGGAATGGAGTCTAGGCCTTTGCCTGTGTTAGGTGTGTACTGCCTGAGCATGAAGCAGTCATCAGTTTATATTTGTTTGGGATTTTTTTTTTTGGGGGGGGGGCCGTTGGCTTTAAGACAGTCTCTTACTATGAAGGTAGCCTGGCTGGCCCAGAACTCGCTTTGTAGACCAGGCTGGCCTCAGACTCAAGAGATGCTCCTGCCTCTGCCTCCTGAGTGCCGGGGTCAAAGGTGTGCGCCACCACGCCCAGCTTGCATTTATTTTTATTTTACTTTACTTTTTAAAGACGGTGTTGCAGTGTTACACAGACTGGCCCGTCTGTGGGCACAGACTGGGCAGAGAGGGAGGAAACAGGATCCTTAACAGCCGGCTGGAGCTGCAGACGGAGGGCTCAGGCACCAGCTTCCCAATTTGGTGACATCCCAGAGCAGATAGAAAGCAGCCAGGCTGGGCTCAGAGGAGACTTCCCAGCAGGACCAGGGCCAGCTGAGCTCAGAGGAAGCGTAACTGACTGTGAGTGGGGGAGGGGCTAGAGCTAAGGCTAGGACCAGGGTGAAATCATCCAGCCCCAGTCTTGCTGGAGAGCTGCTTGTCTCCCCAGCATGTAGCCGGGGGCCTGACCTCGAAGTGAGTCACCACGCCAGCCCAGCTGATTCAGTGGAGCTGGGGGAGAGGCCGGGACTGTGCAGAGACTGAAGCGGCCAGCCAAGGTCAGGACTGGCCACTGTCTGGAAGGGCCAGCCAAGGCCATCATCCTAGCAGGGCTGAGCCCCACCTGCTGGCATCCAGCCACAACAGGCCTCTGTCTTCACAGTCCTTTGGCCAGAAAGCTCTGGCCTCAAGGAAACCGTTTTGGCAGGAGAGTTGGCTTATGGCTGAGAACTCAAAGGGCTCAGAACTGTGGAAAGAAATCAAGGGCTGAGCCAGGCGCAGTGGCACACACCTGTAATCCCAGCACTCCTGGAGGCAGAAGCAGGTGGATCTCTGTGAGTTCAAGGCCAGCCCGGTCTACAAAGCAAATCCAGGACAGCCAAGGCTGCGCTGAGAAACCCTGTCTCAAAAAACAAACAAACAAAAAAGTGAACTCACGTGAATTCATTGATGGATGAAAAAGTGAGCTGAGGAGAATAATTTGCCAGGCACAGTGATGAGAGGGTCCCCACAGTCTGACCCCTCCCTCAAGGCACGTAAACTGCCCTTCACACCTAGCAAGGGACAGAGGCTACAATAAAATAGAGACGGTGCTCTATTCCACATTCCACTTGTACCCATGAGAAATTTGACCAGAGCCAATCTTCCCTGGCGACATTTAGTCTACCCTTCTATCTGGCCACAGCACGACTCCAATGCCAGAGTAAAAGAAAGCACAGGGTTTCAGGCATGGGGTACAAGGTTGGGGCTATTTGGCTATTCCTAGGGCACCTCTGGCAGACAGGGGTCTGGCCAACATGGGCTCCCATTTGCACTGACAATGTTGAAACTAGTTAGCCAGGCATCGTGATACAGGCCTATAAGCTCAGTACTCAAGAAACCGAGGCAGGAGGAGTTCATGAGCCAGACCCCAGGCCCTCACTGGGGAATTCTAGGCAGGGGCTACACCACTGAGCCACACCCCAGCCCCTCATTGGGGGATTCTAGGCAGAGGCTCTACCACTGAGCCACACCCCAGCCCTCACTGGGGGATTCTAGACAGGGTGTCTACCACTGAGCCACACTCCAGCCCCTCACTGGGGGATTCTAGGCAGGGGCTCTACCACTGAACCACACCCCAGCCCCTTACTGGTGGTGTCTCTAGACAAGCACCCTCCCAATGAGCTACATTTACAGCCTTCTTTTTATTTTCTACTTTGGTATTAAGTTATGTAGCCTAGATGGGCTCAGTTTCTGTTTGTTTGTTTTTGTTTTTCTTTATTGAGACAGAGTTTCTCTGTGTAGCCCTGGAACTTGCTCTGTTTACCAGGCTGGCCTCAAACTCAGGGATCCACCTGCCTCTGCCTCCCAAGTGCTGGGATTAAAGGTATACACCACCATACCTGGCTAGCTGTAATGATTTTTAAAGTGTGTGTGTGTGTGTGTGTGTGTGTGTGTGTGTGTGTGTGTGTGTGTTTTCAACTGTGCCAAGACGTACATGTGTAGCTCAGAGTAAAAAGTTAAACTCACTCTCCACCTGGATTTGGAACAAGGTCTCTTGTACCCGGTGGGTAGACCAGGCTAGCTGGTCTGAGCATTTGATTTTCCCATCTTCTCTGCCCACTTTGCAGTAGGAGCCCTGGAATTATATGGTTCATACCCTGTCTGGCTTTATGTAGGTTCTGGGGATTTGAACTCAGATCCTCACATTTACAGAAAAAAAAAGCCCTTTACCTGCTGAGCCATCTTTCCCCAGCTCAATGTCAATCACTCAGAAAAGCCAACATTTATCTATAAAAGATGTAGACTGAGGCCTCCCAGGTTGGGAAAGAGTTCTTCATTGCACATTTAATAGTTCATGCAGCACTTGATGACATAAATAAAGGATGGAGGAGCAGGTCCATAAACTCCATGGTGCAGGCAGGACACACATGGCCAGGGTCACACAGGGAGGCCAGCTGGAGGGGTCACCTCCCTAGGCGTGCACAGTGGGGTAAGAAAAGGTTGATCACACAGTCTCATGACATCTGGCCACCCAGGAGACACTGAGCAGTTGGGACACTCGTGTGGCCCTCAGACCTATCTGGTTCATATCACGCTGCACTGGGGACAGGGTGTTGATGTGAGGTCAAGCCTGGTGTCAATGCCTTTCCCTGAATGTAAGGGAGCAGAGAGACTTGGTAAGAGAGATGTCTGGAAGTCAGGCTTTCCAGAGCGAATTTGGGAAGGTTCAACGCCTACAGCTTCAGCCAGGAAGTTGGGAGTTCTTTGCTGCCCCTTGGGGTCTCCAATCGGCAGGTAGACAGAGCCCTGGCTCCTGGCCTCCAGGCGCTGGGGACTCAGCTCTAACTTGCCATGTTTGGAAAGCCCCAGCACCACCCATGCTTCCTGCCCAATCTGGGCGTCCAGCCACTGAGGGGTCACGGGCTTGGCCAGCCTTCCTGACATGAGGTCAGGGTGCCTGGCCTACCCAGAAACAGACTTTCCAAGAGCTCTGAGGACAGGTTACTGGGCTTAACAGCTGCCTCCTGGCTTTCTGGGGCCATAGCTCAATCCTCAGATAGGAGGCTACGGTCTATCTGGGTCTCTCAGGGGTCCCTCTGGCAGTGGGGGGTAGTGGGCAGGGACCAAGAATGCCTTTCTTCAGCTTCTGTTTCTGCTGTCAGCCTGAGTGTTCATTTGAGGACACCTCCATTTGACACAATCTGTCCTATACCTGGGCCTACACCTGGGAGAATCTGACAGGGACAAGGGACAATGTCCTGATCAACATCCAGCTCTGGGGGGAGGGGGACCTACAAGGGGCTGTGGCCCCACTCTTGAGACCTGGCAGGACACAGGGCCAGTTCAAGTATGGGGACCAGACAAGAACTCCCAGAAGACTTGGAGAAGGGATAGGGTGGCCCCAAGATAAGGCTGCAGGGCCACTGTGGAGGGGGTCAGCTGTCACTTCCCTGGTCTGGGGATGCAGTTGTCCCTTGCCCTTTGTTTTTAAAATGCACAAGATGGTTATTTATTCCAAAAGTGAGTCCACAGGAAGGAGAGGCTCTGTGCCAAGCTCCATGCCAGGTACCAGCCCCACCCGGCCACCAACCAGCAGCTTACAGGCTCCTGGCATGGGGAACGGGTCCCAGGGTCACATGGGGGACCCCTGAAGGTGCAGGCGCGAGCTCAGACAGTGAGGGAGATGAAGCTGTTGTAACGCTGGATGTTTCTCTTCAGGATCTCAGAGCAGGGGCCCAGGACACGCTCAAAGCGGGGCCGATCCAACTTCACACACTTGAGGGGACCCCGGGCCACCACAGTGGCTGCACGGGGCCTGTTCAGCAGCAGCGCAATCTCCCCTGGGGGAATGAAAGAAGAGTCAGGGTGCAGCCCTCCTGATAGAGAACGGCCTTCCTTCTCAATGGGATGCCAACTGAACCTGCGTTTTCTTCCTTCTTCTCGCCCTTCTTTCCTTGAGTCAGGGCCCCGTATCTCCCAGGCTGGCCTAGAACTCACTATGGAGCTGAAGATGACTTTGATCTTCTTGTCTTCTTCTGAGTCCTTGTGTGTGTGTGTGTGTGTGTGTGTGTGTGTGTGTGTGTCTGTGTGAGTTTTCCTGGGGACAGAACACAACCTCATGTATGTTCGGCAAGCATGCTACCCACTGAGCTACAGCCTGAGCCTTTTAAAAATTTCTCTTATTTGGAGACAGGATCTCAATAAGTTGCCTAGGACAGGCCTTGAAGATACCATCCCCTTGCCTCAGCCTTCCTGCAGGGGGGTGAGCCCTGCACAAGTGAGTCCAGCGTCCAGCACAAACTCTTCCCGAGTTTAAGGAACAGACTAGGGGCTGGGGTTACAGATCACTGGTACTTGCCGAGCCCCGGGTCTCATCATCAGCCCTGCATAAACCAGGAGTGGCGAGGCACGCACACCTGTGAACCCAGCACTCAGGAGGTAGAGGCAGGAGGATGGAACATTCAAGGTCATCCTCAGCAACACGGGGAGTCTGAAGCCAGCCTGGGCTACGAGAGAGTCTGTTTCAGCACCCCATCCCCCCCAAATAAATTATGTGTTAATTATCTGAAATTCAAGTTTAGTTGGCATCGTCCTGTGAGCTGCCTGCCAACCCTGCATGCAACAGACACTGTGAGGTAGTTCAGCCTCCCACAACCTAGTTCCAGCCCTAAGAACGTTCTGGGTGTTCTCAGGACCCTCTTCCCTGGCAGCTGCAGAACGAGCAGCTAGTGGCCCTGTGCCTCTCACCAGGGCTCTGCTCTCCCCGAGACCAGCAGCTCACCCCCAGGAAGGCCAGGCCAGTGCTCTCAGGCCAGTCCCAGACCTGAGTGTAAGGTGGCTTCAACTGAGGCCTCTGTCACAACTGCATTTGCCTTGCCCTAGCCCTCAGAGCCACCCTGGGGCCTAAGGAAGCCCCATGCAGCTCCTGACCCAGGGCCCAAGCGGAGATGCCGTGTCTGGAGTGGTGGAACCCCAACTCACCAAAGTAGTCAGAGGGTCCGAGGCGCCCCACTTCCACATACTCCTCGTTGGGGGATCGTCGCTGGAGGACGGAAGCGGTGCCCTAAGGGGGAGGGGACAGGCAAGAGTCAGCCATGTATGGGTCAGCTGTTGGGGGGATGTGGGGACATGTTGGAAGCTGCTTGTTTGGGGATCATGTGCTTTGGTGGGCACGTGAGGGCGTTCGCTTGCTGAAGGATGAAGTGGAGAGTCTGCAGGAGAAGCCTCTGCCCATTTGTTTCTTCTTCCTGGCCCTTTCCTCCACGTAGTCACGGCTGCTCTGATCCTATCCCTCCCTATTTGGGTCCTCCAGGCCTTCTGGGAGGCAAACCCTCATGAGACCTAAGATCTAAGTTGTTGTGTTTGAGTAATGCACCCTCCCAGACACCCAGAGGCCTATCCTGTCTGCAGCCTGCTTTTACTGACACAGTGGAAGCTCCCCGTAATAGGGGCCTACCCAGCGCCTCCCCCAGAGGCCTTGGAGGTGACTGTGGAGATGGCCCCAAGGGTGCCAGGGCTTTGTCACTATGCTGAGAGCTGACCTTGGACTGTAGCTTAAGGACAATGAGCTGTCCCGCCACACTGAGGGGGGCTCCAGGGAGGCAGGGAGGAGCATGGCCTCAGGGTCATACACCTGCTGAGCTATGCAGCCCCCTCCTTACTCCCAAGAGGGCAGCAGGTCTGCAGACCAAGCCGGCTCAATAATTAACAGAGCAGCTGCAGCAGGTCACTGGCCTCTGGGAACATTAAAGACAAGGCTAGGGCACCCAGGGCGTCTGGGCAACCAAATGCCTCCCATGCTCACGCTCCCGGCCACCTGAGATGGGCAGTACACAGCTGGCTCCTTTTAGGCAAGTCCGTCCTGAGCCAGTGTCCCCACCTGTCACCTTCAGCAGCTCGGGAAGATGGAGAGTGGCTTTCAGCATTGCCAGTGACTCCCAGTAAAAACAGCAGAGCTTAGCCAAGTGTGGTGACTCAGACCTAGAATCCCAGCACTTAAGAAGCCAAGACGGGGATTTCTGTGAGCTTGGGGCCACCCTGAGCTACACAGTAAGACCCTGGCCAAAAATCCTGCTCACCAGACAAAAACAAAGCCAGAGCAAAACAACAAAAACAATAACAGAAAACTCACAAAATGAGAGAGAGGAATCTTCAGGTTGGCTCTGTGGGTAAGGTCGCTTGCAACCAAGTCTGATGACCTGAGTATGATCGTCAAGCCCCACATGGCAAGAGAGAACCTGTCTCCGGAAAGTTGTCCTTGGACCTCCACATAGGCGCCACCTCCCCACAAATCAGGAAACATTAAGAAAGGATCTGAAGATCTTCATCCACTCAGGTGGGCCACAGCTGCCTACAAATCCAGTCCCTAAGGAATCCAGCTCCCTCTTTTGGACCCCAGGGACATCCACACATATGTACCACACACATTTAAAAAGGAGGGAAGGAAGGGAGGAAGGAAGGAAGGAAGGAAGGAAGGAAGGAAGGAAGGAAGGAAGGAAGGAAGGAAGGGAAAGAGGGAAAAGGAAAAAAGGGAAGGAGGGAAGAAGGGAGAAAGGGAGGAAAGAAAAAAGGAAGGGAGAGAGGAAAGGAGGAAAAGAGGGAGGGAGGGAGGGAGGAAGGAAAAAGAAAGGGAGAGAGGGAGAAAGGAAGGAAGATGTGGACCATGGACGGGATCCGTAATCTGAGCAATGGAACAGGTACGAGGATAGGAAATTCAAGGTCGTCCTCAGCTTCACAGTGCATTCAAGGCCAGCCTGGGCTATGGCAGCCCTTTTCAACACAACTCAGTGAGTTTGACACTGAGCATCGCAGGGTGTGTGGCCCACCTACCGCCGAGGATCCAGAGTTTAGCTCTGAGTTTTCACAGACTCTGAGGCAGACAGCTGTCTGAGGGCTTCCACATCTCATTTAACACTCACGGAGACTGAGGACCTGCGGCCTGGTCCTCAGGGCCTCCATGTAGGTGTTGCTAGGTCTCCAGGGCCACCTAGCATGCCTAGACATCCAGGTGCCCTCACCCCAAGCTACTCTCTAGGAATCCACAGCACTCAATGCAAGGTGGGTTGCTCCCTCAGCCCCAGTCTCGCTAGAGCCTGTGGCCAGGCTGTGACTGGCTTGCTGAGCGACTCCCTGTCAGCGGCTGGTGCCCACAGTGCCTGGAGTCCCCAGGCACGCTTAGCAGCCCCTGAAGCAGCTGCATCCCCGACCCAGCTCCTGGACCTCTGCATGTTTATCAATCTGGCTGCTGGATGGAGTGAGGCATGTGAAGATGAGAGCACACCAGCGCTGCCAGTGTGAGCAGGGAGCACAAGCAGGGAGCACACAAGCAGGAAACGTGCTCATGCCCACCGGGGACCCCAAGAGAAGAGAGGAGCCCCACCTGCCAGGACAGCTCACAGTGTCGGGCTCCTGAACCCATGAAGAATGAGCTTGCCTCCGACTGTTGTGTTGGCAGGGACTTGGGGACTGGGCTCAGGCAGGGCTTCCGGGTTTTGTTTGTTTGTTGTTTTGGTTTTTAGAGACAGGGTTTCTCTTTGTAGCCTTGGCTGTTCTGGAACTCACTTTGTACACCAGGCTGGCCTCGAACTCACAGAGCCTCTGCCTCCCTGAGAGCTGGGATCACAGGCATGCACAGTGTGCCCAGCTGGGGATTCTTATTTTTAAAGTCACAGCTGGGTGGTGTTAGGGAAAGTTTAGGCTGTAAAGGGTTTGCCACAGAAGAAAGAGGAACTGAGTGTGGCCCTCAACATTCCCATAAACTTAGATTGGTAGCCCAGATTCATAATCTTAGTATTTTTTAATCTCTACACATGTTCTGCCTCTCTCCACAAATTAAAAGAAAAAAAAAAAGAGTCAGTTTTTTTTAATAATTTATTTAATTTTTATTTTATGTGCATTAGGGTGAGGGTGTCAGATCTTTGAATTACAGACAGTTGTGAGCTGCCATGTGGGTGCTGGGAATTGGGCCTGGATCCTTTGGAAGAGCAGACAGTGCTCTTAACCACTGGACCATCTCTCCAGCCCCCTGAGTCAGTTATTTTTTTTCTTAAAGCAATTCATGTGGGTTGAAGCAATGGATCAGTGGTTAAGAGCACTTGCTGCTCTCCCAGGGGACGTGCGTTTCCCAGAATCCTTGAAAGCTGCCACCGACAGAGACAAAGGCAGAGTCGGGCGGATCTCTAGGGCTCTTTGGCCAGCCTAGCCTAGCTTAATTGTTCATCCCTAGGCCGGTGAGAGGCCCTGTCTTACAAAACAAGGGTGACAGCTCCTGAGGTTGATCCCTGGCCTCTAAGCCACTTTTACACACAAACACTCTCTCTCTCTCTCTCTCCTTCCACACTCAATTCTACCCCCACACACGCACAGTGTACAAGTGCACACAGACCCAGGGTGGGGTATTCCGGCTTGAAGAGCCTGGTGTGCTGGAATAAAGTTGTCATGCCAGCATTTAGTTCTCTCCTTTTACCGTGCTGATCCCGGGGCTCAAATTTGGGCCATCATGCTTGATAACAGGTTGCCTTAGCTCGCTCAGCTCCCTCTGGCCAGTCCCTCATCCCAACATTCTCAAGGCAGAGGCAGGAGGATCTCAAATTCAAAGCAAGCCAGAGATACATGGCAACATAGACACACACACAGCAAAAAACAGAAAGCCAACTTAACATTGCTACATGCTAACAAACTGTTATTGTACTCACAGACCTGGAATGGGGGACCTTAGAGATCCCAGCTTGTTCTCACTTCCTGCCCTAGGACCACAGCAAGGTGCCAAGTCCTCTACCAGGTGCTCCGTGATGGCACAAAGGCCGCCATCGCTCTGGGAGTCAGCACATGCCATCTCTATACCAGTAGCAGGTAAATAAAGAGAAACGAGGTCAGCCTCAGCTTCTTCGTATGTGAGCTTGGAGTAGTCACAGAAACTCCCAAGAAAGATGTCCGCGGGGACAATGTACATGAAACCTCTACATGATAAAGACTTGGAAAATAGAAGCGCCGACGAGCTTGCCCTGCACCTCTCTAGGGTTGGGAGTACAGCAGGGAAGGAGAAGCAAGCTGCTGAGGCAGGAACAGGGAAGAAATGAGCAGGAAGATGGCCCCCATGCCTCCAACAGGCAACACAGCCAGCCACCCCGGCATCCTTGCAGGAGAGAGGGTTGGCTCGAACACCGTGCTGTGGGTCCCGAGACCCTGTTCTTCCTGTGTTGCTGTGGGGCTCTCTGTTACAGCAGCTCCTTTGTTGCCCTGACCAGTACTCTGCCTGGAACATGGCTGTCACCATCCTCGGTGGAAAGCCCCATGTCTGTGAAGGCAGCGAGCAGTCCGCTCCCTTTACACACTCCTGGATCTGCTGACACAGGCCGTAGCATCCTGTCACTGAAAACCCCTAGACAAAAACACTCCCCACTCAAGGTCCAGTCTGCGTCCCTAGTCGCCACGGAAATGGCCAGACATCCAGGACAACATGTCTAGAGCCTGGAAAACAGCCGTGCCAAATTGCTGGCTCATAGCCTCCAAGTTCCTCATCGAAGATCCTAGTTCAGCCACAGATCTGAGACAGACAGCCCAGAGGTGATATAGGGAATCGTCACTCCTAGGTGCCTGTGACAGGGTGCAGTTACAGACACTAAATTTCCTTTTAAGTACTGTGACGAAAAAAAAAAAAAAAAAAGAACATTTCCCCCCCACACACACCAAGAAGGAAGTGACTTTCCAAAGAAGGAAGCCAGTGGGGGTCACATGGGATCCACCCCTACAAGGCCAGGTCCCCAGCTTCCCCTTTCCACGTGTCACAGTACAGCATGTGGAGACCAGGGGTTGGCCGGAGTGTCTTCCTCGGTCACTATCCACTTTATATTTTGAGGCAGGGTCTCTCTATGAACCTGGAGCTCAACAGTTCAGCTAGACTGGCAGGCTGGCAGGCCCCAGGGACCCTCCTGTCTCCACCTCCAAAGTGTCAAGATTATGGGTGCAGGCCACCACTCTTAGAAAGGTCCTGGGGATCAAACTCGGGTGCTCTTGTTTACAAAAACAAGCCCTTCATCCACTAAGCTGCGTCCCTAACACTTC